CTAAAGTTTCGTCGGAACGAAGTTACGGAAAGTTAATTAACAAACGGAGACGTAACAATAGTATTGGACGACTCCTGTGAAGTAATGTTAAAAACCTCGGAAGATATCAATACGTAAGAACATGAATGCAAAATCCAGTTAAACTACAAAGCTGATGTGGTGATGGTATGGTTTTTTGCATTTATTATTTTATGTTATCACTTAGAAAGAAAATTTTTGTTTTGTTTGAAGTTAAGCACAAAACTACACAATAGGCTATTTGTGCTATGACCACCACGAATATCGCAACCCGGTTTCTAGCGTTGTAAGTCCGCAGACATTCCACTCTGCCACTGGGGGGCTAGAAAGAAAATTAACCAGGTAAGGCGATGATGCGTAAGCCTAGTGCCGACTTTGAAGAGGACTGTCCAAAACCCACATGTTGAGAGTTTGTTTGTTTGTAGTTAAGCACAAAGCTACACTATGGACTAGCTGTGCTCTACACACCACAAATATCGAAACCCGGTTTATTGCGCTGTAAGTCCACAGGCATACCGCTGTGCCACTGTTGAGTTAAACTATTGGAAATATGCCTCCAAAAGTACAAGGTCAGTTAAAAGGAAAATTCTAACTGATAAGTTTAAAATTTAGTACGGTTCTTTCAAATAATCCAGAAAGTTAAGTAAATAAAGACTGCACGACGAATAGTATCAAAAGGTTAAAACAATAAGTGAAAAATTACAGTTAATTTTGTGAAAAAACATGGCTGAAGACAAACAATGGCGATCTATAAATGAGCCTATGTTCATGTGCAAATGATCATGGAGGATGTGTTGCCCTTCCACTGATGGACGGCTATAGTCTAATAATGATTACTATGTTGATGATGCGATACAAGTCAGCACCAGGAATTTACACTACACTGCGTGCGAAGTAATAGATAGCTCTTTGTGGCGCAGAGTGGTGAGTAGTGTTTCTGTTGCGCCTAATTATTGCTATTTTCTTGTACCTGATTATTAAGTAAAATGTAAATATTGAAGATGTAGCATGGCCATATTTAAGTGTATGTGTATTTATATCTAATGTTGACCTCATAAGTTGGAAACAATGAGTAAATGTGTTGGTGATTACTGTAGTATTTATTTTTCTTATAAAACTACGTTTCTCTGCCGGAAACTCTGTAATTAATATATTAATACGAAGACACGGGCGAAATACATGTTATATTAATAATTTATAATAGGTATTAATCGTTCCTTTCTACGATACAATAGGGTGCGCTACAGTTCTGTCACTGTAGTACATGCGTTTTTCTTATTGTGGTTTTGATGAAGATTTTTAATTAACTTGTGACTAGTGTAGTTAGTTATGTCATTTGTTTGTAATATTATCCATGCTAATGTATTTGTAGCATTTTAATTGTAAAGATGCTTAGTTGAGTAAACTTCATTGACAACACACGACTGACATATAAGACGAGCTCTTATTCTTTCCTGGCATGTATCATGAACTTAGTCACAACTTACGGTTACACTTACAAGTTATAGTATTAAAAAGTCTGTATCTTGTAAGTTAAGTTGTATGACTTGTCTTGCAATACTATTAGTAGGTAATATAATTTGTGAAGTATGATAGTACTTAATAGGATTCTGTGTGCCAGTTATATATGAATATTTTTCTGCTAGTTTGAACAGATTTTCTAGTTTTTATTTTGTCGCCTTCCTCATGTTGTCAAGTATAACAAGCTGGTTACTCCACAGGTAAGGACGCACTTGATTCGAGTTGTTTCAAAACATTACCGAAATTAAAGTGAAGACTACAATAATTACACGTGTTTTCAAGTTTTGAGATTATTTTTTTTGTTATGAATTTAACTTATCTACTTGCAAGTTTCATCTTTATATTTTGCATATTTCTTATGCTTTTATTTTTTTATATTGAGAATTTTATTGGTGCTGTTGTGGCTGCGTTCTTGTTACTGTTAGTACTTTTACACCTCTGTTCATTTTTTATTCTTTGACTTTGCAAAATAAGACTGGCACATTGACTTTAATTAAAGTTTAAATTTTAACAATAAGAACTGCTGGTGTGCTTCACTGGGAAAAATATTAAAGTTTGTTAATTTCTGTACAAGCTAGGCACTGTATAACTGCAAATATGTATTAGTAATGAGACAAACCCACAGAGGTTGATGTAGATAGGTTTGGTGTGCAAATTTTAGATTATTAAAAACCTGCAAAGGGTTATATAGATAGGAAAAACCAGTAGAGATATATAGATATGTTTAATGTGCATATTGTACGTTATTAAAAACCTGCAAAGGGTGATATAGATAGGAAAAGCATGTAGAGATATATAGATATGTTTGGTGTGCAAATTGTACGTTATTAAAAACCTGCAAAGGGTGATATAGATAGGAAAAGCCTGTAGAGATATATATAGATATGTTTGGTGTGCAAACTGTACATTATTAAAAACCTGTTAAAGGTGATATAGATAGGAAAAACCTGTAGAGGGTGATATAGATATGTTTGGTTGTAAATTGTACATTATTTAAAACCTGCAGAGGATGGTATAGGTAGGTTCGATGTGCCAAATGTATAACAGTAGCTGTCTTTCTTTGATGCCCCCCTTCCTTTCCAGTGGCACAACAGCAAGTCTGATGTCTTACAACTGGGTTTCAGTAATCATGGTGGGCACACAAGAAATAGCTCAATGTGTATCTTTGTGCTTACCAAATAACAAACCTGTATTTGATATGCAGTAGGAAATATTCATATAAAGAAACCCAATAATCCATGGACTTACGAAAACTAGACCTCATATCTTGAAGGTATATTTGGAATTTATGCTTGAAGGAGAAACACTTACTTTTGAAAAGTCCTTGGAGTTTCCTATCTTCTGATATTTTTATTTTTGAACATATTCATGAAAAAAGTCATGCTACAACTTGTCAGAAACACTCCTGTAGTTATAGTTACTGAGTAATAAATTTGTAAGTGTATATAGATCTGTTCTTTTAAAAGAATATTATGACTTGTTTTAGCCCTCTAGTGGCTCAGCAGTAAGTTTGAAGGTTTACAGGTTTTGATACCTTTGATGGGCACAGCACAGATTGTATAGCTTTGTGCTTAATGTCAAACAGACTCTTGTATTAAATTTTTTATATAATGAAACAAGCTAATTATATCTTGCATGGATGTAACAATATTTCTTCTACCTTGAATGTTTTTCATTTAGAAGTAACATTTTGAAAAACGTGTGTATTAACGGTATTTTGGGAAGTATGAGTTCATTGTGTTAATTTTGTTATTTATTTACCAGAAGATCTTCATATGTAAAGCATCTGATAAAAATGTGTGACTCCTACACTTGGCCAGTTCCCTCATGTAGGATGTTTACAATAGCTCTTCAGACAGTAAAACAATCACATTTTGTAGGCATATCTTCAGGGCTAATACTTGTAAGAAGGAATATGCCATGCTTCTTATGTAACATTTATCAGACTGCTTACTTCCACTCATCTGACTTCTGTTTCAAAAAACGAAAAACAGGGGAAGAAAAGGTAGTGTACAAACCTTGATTTAATAATTAACAAAAATCTCTAATCCTTTGTGGATATTTGTATTTTAAATGTTTCTTAAAAACCTACCAAAGAATATATACTTCAGGGTATTTGCCATTCCAGTTGGAAAATTTAATGGCTTTGTATAAAGTAACATGACACCTTTAGGAAAAATGTATCCACAGAACTAAACTGAATGAACTATAATAATAATATGAAACAAAAACTATGAATATGTTTGTATGAATAATTTAACCAATATATGAAAAAGTATGTTTTTTAATTTCCTGTTTAGAAGCATAAAAACAGCATCCATTTCTCACCAAAAGCAAAACGTAAAGATGATGTTATTAAGATATGGAAGAACATGACAGTTGCTCAACTGGCAGAAGTAACACATAGAGATATTGGTACGTTTAGAAGGTGTTATTAGTGTGTGGTAAAATTATGGTTCCTGAACTATCAGAGGTAACACATAGAGATATTGGTAAGTTTAGAAGGTGTTATTAGTGTGTGGTAAAATTATGGTTCCTGAACTATCAGAGGTAACACATAGAGATATTGGTAAGTTTAGAAGGTGTTATTAGTGTGTAGTAAAATTATGGTTCCTGAACTATCAGAGGTAATACATGGAGATATTGGTAAGTTTAGAAGGTGTTATTAGTGTGTAGTAAAATTATGGTTCCTGAACTATCAGAAGTAACACATAGATATATTGGTAAGTTTAGAAGGTGCTATTAAGATTTGGAAAAACATGACAATTGCTCAACTATAAAAAGTAAGAGATAGTGGTATTAGTGAATTTAGGAGATGTTATTAAGTTAAGGAAACACCTGACAGGTACTTATCTGTTAGATGTAACACATAAATGATGTTATTTAAGATGTGGAAATACAAAAAGTTATCCTACCAGCTGAAATGATATGGAGATATTGGTAAGATTAGATAAAGTTATTTAGATGTGGAAATATAAGACAGGTATTCTACCAGGGCATAATATCGATAGCCTTGAGAATGGATGCGAAGTATGATGTATATTTAAAAAAATTTTAAACCTTTTAATTATACATTTTGAAACATAACTAATGCATAATTAATTAAAATATAATTGTAAGACATAAATACAATTTAAACTGTATCTCTAACTATAACATATTTAGGTAAGAAACAACCGTAAGTGCTATAGTGGATCAAACAGTGAACCATATTATAGTCAATTCTGATATGATACCGTACCTCCACTAACAAAATATTTTTTCATGATTAGTACTGCCCTCTATTGGCACAACTTTGGCATGCTTGCCACTAGCCTTCCACCTCCTACTTCTGCATATCCATATGCAGAAGATCATGCAGTAGCTCTCCACCAATAGGAGTGCGACAGAACTCCTATTGTAACCAGTGTTCTCTTCACATTTGTACGTCTCAATTGGCAGTAGTACTGTACATGTGTGCTGGTTTTTGCACATGGATTTATTGACACTTTCCTTTATGTTACTGACCTAGTTTTTCTTTATTATTTAGTTAAATTTCAGCATTTGGTATTGTGAAATGTTGCTTTTTCCAACTTTTCTTAATTTTTCAGGGACCTTTTTGGCTAGTGTACTGTAGATCCTACTCTGTGGCAAGTAGTGCCTGACTAGGTATACTTTTTTTTTAAAATCCACATTGTCCATCCTGTGACCATGCTTAATATCAATTACGTTTTAGCTCTTCCTACTGTGGACCTGATGTACAATTCCAGATGCTGCCAGGTGTTGGTTGTGTATCTCCGTTCTATTGTTATCTGTGCCTAAACAATTATGTTGCAGGATTGGGTTATGCATACCATAGAGATGGGATGTTCTCTAAGACTGCTAGTAAGTCTCTTTAGTGGTTTTTTGTATCCTAAATATGTTCCTCCTGGACTGTATACTCATGGAATAACATGAGTAAAGCAGACAAATTGCTGCCCATCTCTGATGCCCGTGGTGTTGAGACTCTTCCTACTGTAGACCGGATGTACAAATCCAGATGCTGCTGGGGTGGTGGACTGTGGAAGCCCTCTTGAGTGATGAATAATATCACTCAGTTGAAAGTAGGGGAGTGGCATTCTGCAGGTGTTGATGGCATATAGCACTTCCTACTACAGAACTGATGTACAATTCCAGATACTGCCAGGTTTTGGTTGTAGCCCTATGCCCTATTACTGCCTGTATATCTGACCAATTGCTTTTTCCTATTTTGGCATTTCTTCTTCCTACTATCCTGTGGAGGTACATTCCTGGTGGGTTTGGTGTTGGTTGGAGATAGCCTGGTCATGACTAGAATAATGTGTCGATGGTGTGATGCCCTTCCTACCATGGATCTGATGTACAATTCCAGATGTCACCAGGTTTTGGTTGAAGCATTCAGCCATGTTAGGACTACATATCTATAATTGCAGTTTGCCTCTCAGGCTAGGACATTCTTCCTACCTACCATCCTCTGGATGTGTACATTCCCAGTGAGTCCGGTGATGGTTGGAGATGGTGTAGCTAAGTAAGTCCTCACACGTGTGCTGGCTGGAATCCATCTTCCTACTGCAGACTGGATGACAAATACCCACTGCCAACAGGTTTTGGACTAGAGATGCACCCCAGGTTTGTGGTCCCTCTTCCTACTGCTGGATGTCAGTTCCCGAGGGATCTGGTGTTGGTTGTAGCTGGGTGCAGCATGTTTTCCCACTTGTGCATGGGTAGGTATCCTCCTCCTACTGCAAACTGGAAGTACCATGCCCATTTCTGCCAGGATTTGGACCTTAGATGTCATCCTGCCGGGGCTATCTACCTTCCTACCATCCACTGGATGTTGGTTCCCGGCAGATCTGCTGATGGTTTTGTTGGAAATGTGTGCAAATGGAGAAGGATTTTGGTATGGAAGCTTGTCTTCCCTACCAATTCCCATTTCCAGGGGAAGAGGTAGGTGATTCTCTTCCTTCTGCAGATCTGATATATCATTCCAGATGCTGGCTGGTGTTGGATGAAGTCAAACTACCACTATGGTCTGTCACTTCCAAACAACTCAACACCCAGGGGTCCCATTAACTGGTCATACATATTCTGGGCTTCCTTCATGTTTTTCTGTCTTTTATGTTCATGACTCAATCATAAAAGAGTGAAGAGTATAACTGGATCAAATGTGGTGCAGTCTCCCACTGAGGTTTCTCTTTTGGTTTCACACCACCTGGTCTCTCTTTGGGCACTTCCTAAAGGGGGATAATTTTTTCACTAGCCCTCCACCAGCTCAATGTGTGATTCTAACTATTTTGTGAGAGGAGGAAAGATATTGTATTGGAAGCTAACATTTTCCTAAACTGAAAAATGTATTTCCTACAGTATTATGTATTACCTCCTCTCGCATTTCCCACCCAGCCTTCCCACTTCCAGTGATATGTGGTGTAGGTCTTCTAACTATTCTTGAAGTGATTAACAAGTGCAAATGTGAAGAGGGTGCTGGTTATGATAAGAGTTGTGTCGTGCTCCTATTAGTGGAGAGCTGCTTCATGATCATTTGCATGTGGATATGCAGAAGCAGGAGGTGGAAAGTGAGTGGTGAGTTTTGAAAGTATGTGCCAATAGAGGGCAGTTCTAATTGAGAAAAGCTATTTTGTGAGAGGAGTTAAATACCTATTGGAAAATGTTAAGTTTCATGTACTTGGTGACAACAACTTGGTGCCAATTTTAAAATAGTTATTGTTAGATTATACTGTAAAATGAGCTCTTTCTAGTGGTTATACACATGTGTATGTAACATCTAAATGGAGGCTATGAAGCTTAAATAAATCTGTTGAAGGTAGGCATGGCAGCTGTCAGAGATTGAAAAATTTATTAATTGTTCCAACTGTATTCATTCAGAGAACTTTGAAATGAAAGAGCCAAAGGGTTATCTAAACATCTAATTGTCTACACATACCTTTACAGTACTGCCATTATTGAAGATAATGTCAAAGTAGAGAACTTTCACAGCTCATTGGTCATGTGACAAATGTGTATGAAGTTTTAAGTAGTTTTTAAAGGGCTTAAAATTTGGATGAAATAACCTTTGAATCATACACTATGATATTAAATTCATTCACATACATTAATATTAAAGGTGTTTAATTAAATTTTGAATGTAACGCAGTGACTTGTGTAGAAAAGCCTGACAAAGGCAATGGTAATGCCATTTCAAAAGTTAAGTCGAGGGTCACTGATAAATCTTTGTCATTTTTTTCTGATTTATAGTAGGAAGTGAATTGTAATCTGTTCAGTATAGTGTAATTTCTATGTGATCTCTTCAGCTTAGTGTAATGTATATGCAAGTTGTTCAGCATAGTTTAATCTCATATTTTGTTGTACTGAAATAAATTTATGTACTACATTAGTTTGTATTTAAATATTACAGAAGTTTATTCACTTTATCATATGGTATAAATGAAGGTTAATAAGCTAGTAGCATTCATACCATTTGTCTTCCACTTGTTTCAAATATTTGTAAAATCTTGGCTATTCATTTCAAATGTTTGATGAAAAAAGACATGTAGTTTGTGAAGGCAAAGTAGCTTAATAATTCAGTAAACCAACTTGGATTTATTTGATCAGGGTATTTTGCCTTTCAATTTAATGGTGGTTTTCAATAACTCTGGGCTTTGTCTTGAATTTCAGATGATGTGTTTGAAGCTATGATTTATGTTGAGAACTGCAACCAGCTTGACAGCCCCGACTCAGGTGAGATACTGGCTGGAAACTAGTAAAGCAATAAATGTTTTCACTGTGGTAAGACACTAACATTTCTTTGGATATATGGTAGGAACTTAGTAAGACAGTGTTTATAGGGTGAGTGGTTTTACTATGGTAAGACACTAACATTTCTTTGGATATATGGTAGGAACTTAGTAAGACAGTGTTTATAGGGTGAGTGGTTTTACTATGGTAAGACACTAACATTTCTTTGGCTATATGGTTGGAACCTAGTAAGACAATGTTTGTAGTATGAATGGTTTCACTGTGGTAAGACTGTAACATTTCCTTGGATATATGGTTGGAACCTAGTAAGACAATGTTTGTAGTATAAATGGTTTCACTGTGGTAAGATGCTCACATTTCCTTGGCTATATGGTTGGAACCTAGTAAGACAATATTTGTAGTATGAATGGTTTCACTGTGGTAATATATTAACATTTCCTTGGAAATATGGTTGGAACCTAGTAAGACAATGTTTGTAGTATGAATGGTTTCACTGTGGTAAGATGCTAACATTTCCTTGGCTATATGGTTGGAACCTAGTAAGACAATATTTGTAGTATGAATGGTTTCACTGTGGTAAGACAGTAACATTTCCTTGGATATATGGTTGGAACCTAGGACAATATTTGTAGTATGAATGGTTTCATTGTGGTAAGATGCTAACATTTCCTTGGTTATATGGTTGGAACCTAGTAAGACAATAATTGTAGTATGAATGGTTTCACTGTGGTAAGATGCTAACATTTCCTTGGTTATATTGTTGGAACCTAGGACAATATTTGTAGTATGAATGGTTTCACTGTGGTATGATGCTAACATTTCCTTGGATATATGGTTGGAACCTAGGACAATATTTGTAGTATGAATGGTTTTACTGTGGTAAGATGCTAACATTTCCTTGGATATATGGTTGGAACCTAGTAAGACAATATTTGTAATATGAATGGTTTCACTGTGGTAAGACTGTAACATTTCCTTGGATATATAGTTGGAACCTAGTAAGACAATATTTGTAGTATGAATGGTTTCACTGTGGTAAGATGCTAACATTTCCTTGGTTATATGGTTGGAACCAAGTAAGACAATGTTTGTAGTATGAATGGTTTCACTGTGGTAATATATTAACATTTCCTTGGAAATATGGTTGGAACCTAGGACAATATTTGTAGTATGAATGGTTTCACTGTGGTAAGATGCTAACATTTCCTTGGTTATATGGTTGGAACCTAGTAAAATATTTGTAGTATGAATGGTTTCACTGTGG